TTATGTAAAGCTCAATACAACACTTTTTTATTTCAAAATAAACAAGAACTATGTTTTTATCTGTTTTTGTTATACGTTACTTTGTCTAGTACATTTCGCAACCCAGCGGTTAATCTTATTTTTCTATTTGTCGATACATATTATATTACACGTTCTATAATAATTTCTATAGATTTCATAATGATATATATGTAGGAAATGGCAAGTAAAAAACTGAAATTGAGCTAAATACGGACTCACCATATCAATAATTCATAAAAAACAATAAATAACAAATTCGTTTGTTGTTACACGTCATTTACAATCACTGATTTCACTGTTACAAAAATTAATTCACATACGAATTTTAGTTATATATCTTACAAGTAATGTATCAAAAAACAGCGAATTCATTTTTGACCATTATATCTAAGAATGATAGCAATTGTGCACATATAGTAAAGTAAATATTATAATTAAAAATATGAATTTTTTTGGTTTATACATACGCGCATACTTATAGAAAAATATAGAAAAGCTTATGTTTCTTAAATGTGTATGTGGAGATTAATGCAGAAAACTATTTGTCTGAAAGGACAATTAGGTATGTGGATTTTGAAAGGCCATAAAACTTTAGATATTGTAGTTTTAATTTAGATGCTATGGTAATAGGTTGTCAAATATCTCCCTTCCGCCTTTTTGTATTATAAACCAAGAGCAAAAAAGCGGAAGGGAGATATTTGACAACCTAATATTATATATGTTTTCACTTTTTTCTAATAAATTAATATATTTAAAATTCTGTCTTTGATGATAACCGTTAGGATTGCAATTTCTATGGGATTAGATGATAATTCTTTATACATAGATTCATCTCTGAGAATGTTCATAGCTTCCCAATCTCAATAATCTTTTAACAAAATCTCTGTAACATTTTCCTGATCTATTTTGCATACAGTTAAGATTGTCTTGAGATTTTTTTGTGGCTAAAATATGACGATAGATGTACGTTATATTATTCTTACAATAAATATTGTATTTTCTTTTCTGGTCTAAACTTTTTCATCAAAATACACGTATTTCGTTTCCTTCTGGATGCTTAATTATAAGGCTGAATACAATTACAGAACAAAAAAAACTATCGAATGAAATTTATTTTGATAAAAAAGTATACATCGTATCTCAAAACTAGCAAATACAACATCCATTCTAAGATTAATACAACGTACATCTGTCGGGACATTATAGCCACAAAAAAGTTAAACTAGATCGCAATAGCATATAGAATGTTTTCTATTTTAAATTTTTGCTATATAATAAAATAATGAAAAGTTGTTTTTTAGATAAAAGAATTGCATCATCAACAAAAGTAATTATTGTACCTATCTCCAGATAAGAGTGATAATTTACCGCCCACAGTTCTTGGTATCTAAATTGCTTGTACCAATTTGTAATTAATTTGTTTTTCAGTGTTACAATAATTCAATATTCTGAAACTAACAATTCTTTGAATCCATCTGCACAATGATTCACACACGATTGAAGTAAAACTTATTTTCTACTGTACAAGATGGCATCTAAGTAAAAATAAATACATCATATAACAATTTTGAATAATGTTTATTAATATTATGGTAACACTCGTGATGCACACATTTATTAGTCTCGATCTTTATACACATTTATATAATAATAAATTATAAATTATATATTTATAATAGCATTAAAAATTTACATGGTTCTTATAATGTTTGTTTCATAAACTTATCAAAAAAAAAACGTTACGAATGGACATAAAGACGAACATGTTGGTCTGGGTCACATGTATATTGGTAAATACTTTTATATTGGTAAAAAGAATATAAATTGTATTTTTAAGCAATTTTTTTATTAGTTCAACAATACCTATTTTAAATTTAAATTATTTAATAAACCGCAAAACTTGTAAATTAAATGTTGAGGTACCTATGCCATGTTCTTCTTTTATTTGCCATGAATAAAATAATATTTAAATTTATTGTTATAAGGATAAAAATGCATTTTATACAGTACCCGTATCAAAATTCTGCTAACGATTATCATATGTCGTATTTCTTATAAGATACCTATATCATATTCACGTATGCCTAAACCTTAAATTCTATGTTGTACGCCTCTTAACTAACTATATAGTACGCCTAATATGACTAATACGCCTAATATGACTAATACGCCTAATACCCCTACAACCCTATATACATAATACGCCCAGTATTATTTCTTATCTTACACCTTAAACGCTAATTTTTCCGAACCCTACCGGGAATCGAACCCGAGCCCTCTGCGTGGCAGACAGAGACCTTAACCACTACACCACCGTGCCGCTGCGATTGGTCGCCTTTTCCCGCGTGTCGTCGCGTCACCTTAGGATTAATTACTGAATTAATAGGTAAAGGTACCGCGGAAGAACAGTGCGTCTCTTAATATATTATTTGTGGGGGACCCAATAGAGTAGTGGTCAAGTCGCTCAACTGCCACGCGGTGGTCCCGGGTTCAATTCCCGGTGTGGGCGATAGACAATAGAGTATACGGTAGAGACAATAGATAATTGATAAGAGTAAAATATAGTATAGGGTAGAGACAATAGATAATAGATAAGAGTAAAATATAGCGTGTAAATGGTAGTATGTGTAAGGCTTGATAAAAAGATTGTGGGGTGTGTGTTATATATAATAGGTTAATAGCAAATAATGATAAATTGGTAATAGATTTATATATAAATGTAGGAACTGGTGGTCTTAGGTATCGTACGGTATGATTAGATAGGCAATGATTAGATTTAAGTCCTTTAACATATTGTAATAGATCTTGGATAATTTTATATAAAAAAAGAGTGCGCATAAGGTTCATACGCGATTGAAGTAAAACATACAATATGGCATTTAAGTAAAAATAAGTACATCATATAACAATTTTGAATAATGTTTATTAGTAATATGGTAACACTCTTGACGCACATATTTATTAGTGTCAACCATTATACACATTTATATAATGTGTACAAGTATGGCTTTATACTTCAAATATGACATGATCGGTTTGTCATTGTAATTAGCATTTAGAAATGATCCTTCATTAGAGAAATGAAGTAATTGCTGATTAATAAATGCTATAATATTCGTTCACACAGTGAACACTTTGATCTTCACACACTTCATGTAATTAAAATTAACATACATTCTTGACTGCTTGTATTTTTTTTACTTTTTCGCTGGCGATATAATCTCATTCTTTGAACAGCTGTAATATCTGTTTTGCTTAAAAATATTTTCCATTTTAATAACATCAAAGATTTATAGAAATTACGAATAATATAGAAATAATTTCTAATCAATAAGCTTACGTTTAGTACACACGCAAATATTTAATTTGTTTCATAATTTTCAAGGAACATAGTAAAATATTCTTCTGATTCAGGCATTTTTCATTAAATCAAGATTCGTACTACGATGTAATTTTAAAATGTTTATTTGTCTATTTATGTCGATTTCCTTGTTGATATCGGTACGCATGCAACGTTGATGCCGGTACGCATACAATGACAGAATTCTATTTACATACGCGACGACTAATCACAATCGACCCGTATAGAAATGATATCATATCGAGAGCAAATGACGAATCATTGGCACTCGACTCTTATCTTATCTGCCGTAACGCACTTCCGTTGCATTTGTACGGATATACACCCTAGTTGCGCCTAAAGAAGTTTTACTTCAATAATAATATAATTGTATACAGATAGATCACTTCGTTTTTTTATTTCGCTGCGAACATTATATATTATTATATATTAATAGTTATTTGTCAGCAATTAATTTTGGCTTACTTAGATAATTTCATGAATGATTATTAGATTATTATGATTATTATTTTCAAAAGTGTGCGTTGGGTACGGTTGTGACAAATTTTATGGGTATGATTGTGACATGTATTTCTTGTCCTTTTCGGGTGAAAATTGAACCTATAAAATATCTAACATAACTAAGTCAAAATACGAAAGAGAAAGGAAAAGAAAATTTACAAATATATGTTTTGTTATATGTTTAAATGTTTATGTTGTGTTGTATTACATATTATTTTTATTAACTACCATTTTCTACATTTTTAAAAACAATCTGTCACACTTAGGACATTCAGTAATTGTTTTGACTTTATTATATGGATTTTCTGAATAGATGGCAACCCAGTATTGTCCAATCCAATTATAACTAATTAACTATACTCCAAGTATTTGCTGACTCGTTATAAACCATTTTGGTGTTTATAATCTATTTTAGGTTGCCTGTCACAACCGTCCCTCGGGTGTGTACGGTTGTGACACTTTCCCTTTTCTTGTATGATTAGATTTTATGACAAATCCATCGTATTTATTTATCCATCGCAGTATTTCAATATTTTCACGCAGACAAATGTTCAAACTACCATTTAATTTACTTTTCTCCCAGCTAATTAGTATATTAACAAAATTATTGCCGATCAAAAAAAAAAAAAGTAGCACAACCGTACCCAGATTCCCCGACAATTAAAAACGTAATAAAACTGTCAAAATAAATAATCGATAACATAAAAAATGAAATAAATTAAAATATAGGAAACTGATCACACAAATTATTTTAAAAAACATTGAAATAAAAGACATGATTAACAGTCATTATTATTAATTTATGTTAACTATTATGCTAATGGAAACAGATGAAAAGATAGCACATGTAGTGTTGATATCTCGGATGCGTGACTGCTTCATGTGTATTAAATATAAGGTTAAAAATAAATCTTAAACTTCATAATTATATATGTATATATATATATATATATATATATATATATATATATCTATATACAGGATCTCGAAACAAATTCATTTCACTTATATACTTATAATCTTGCAAGTTGCAAGGTGGGCAATATGATTTTAGGTTTAATAATTTTTGTTTGACATATTTGTCTGAATGTTCAATATATTGATATTTTGTACTCACCAAAGTGTTCTGATATCCCATGCCAAACTCTTCGTCTTCATTCTTTGGGCCTCTTATATATTTTGTAGTCAAAGCCATCATTAATGTTGTTAAGAATTCAATTAGTTTATTACTAACAGAGAGGAAACAATAGTTCAATTTTTTCAAAAAATTTAGTTTTTGTTAAATTCTTTTCTGTTATATTGCTTGCATTTATTATTAAAATCACATAATAGAAACTTTTCACCTAAATATTGAAGAAAGAGGTCATATATGAGCCTAAGGTCAGAACTCAACAGCAAGCCAAAACGTGCTGAAAGGATTTATTGCAACCATAATGAAAAATATCAAAAAAATACATCCTATGCATTTTAAAAATTATATACAATTAGGTAAAACCAAGTAAAATAAATAAATTCAAACTATTATATGGCGAAATGATGAGAGAGATTGATAGTGATATTTGTGAGCGTGATAGGAAGCAACAAAATGGGTCAGAAAAAATCGGGCCACCTTTTTGTTCATATGCTAATATTTTTTTACTTTTTTTAGAAAAATGTGTTGTAATTCTTTACAATTCTGTTAAAAACCTTTAACATTTAATAGCAATTGCCCAGGCAATTTTGTAAGGAGGACCAAATATCCAAAAATTTTAAAAAATTAAAATTTTAAATTTATAGTTTAAGAAATAGTTTAAATTCTACAAAATTGGGTTGAATTATTTCTCATTATTTATTTTATTTTATTATTATTTTTAATTATGGTTTCTGCTTTCTGCAAATGTAATATAGTGTTATGGTTCCAAAGTTCATATGAACAAAACTAAAACATAATCATAATAAATGCAAAATGATTAGAGTTTGATCAAGTAACTAGGTTTTTCTTAAATGTCTATAATTTTTAAAATGCATGGACTAGATTTTTTGCCGATTTTTTCATGATAATTACAATCAAATTTGTAAACAGTTAATCAGCTTGACGTTGAAGTCTTGAACACTCTGTATATATATATATATATATATATATATATATTACATGAACCCTAATTTGATCGTTATATATTAGCAAATAAATAATATAATAGAGATAATTACGCCATTTCAATATTGGTCATTTCGTGCAATAAAAAATCCAATTACTAAATTAATTCTTTTTGCCCTTATTTTATTTGTTCGATTCATAATTGTTATGTTATAGTTTTTATTACTCATGTTTAAATACTCATTTAATATTTTTATTCACATGCTAATTGCAAGAAACATTAATATTTCTCTATTTAAAAATTGATACCTGTTTTTAAATTTCAAAAATAATTGGATTAAATGATGATTTAGCAAATCAGAAGCTTAAATCACTCTTGAAACTAGGGTTCCAGAATTATTTAGTTAATAATTACATAAATATTCAAATATAATCAGAAAAAAGTGAAGAAATATGAAATTATATTGAAACCAAAAATATGTTATTTTAGTTATTGAAACACTTGCAAGCAAAGCACATTTTATATTGATTGTGCTTATCAGAAGATGAGTTATTAAATTCTTCATTCAATAATTGACGTATCTCTTTACTAAAACTAAATATTTTTAATGCAATATTGCATTTATTGGACACAAAAATACAAAATATTAACAATCATATTAATTATGACGTTATTTTTCCAATGTAGATAACATTTCATTTGACAGAAATAAAATACATTTGAAAATAAACTATTGCCTTTTGAATCTCATTGTCAAACAATATTTTAGAACCTCTCATTATCGTTGATTTAAAATATGACTGCCAACTTATTATGTCTATGGGAAAATGCAAAATTCTAAGATAAAACATCTACCGTTATGAACCTCACTGTAAATTAAACAATATTCAAGAATCTCAAGTGGTAAGTGTAGATTTGAATATGATTTTGCTAACACTTCAAGCTAAGGAAGTAAGGTGACCATACGTCCGGGTTTGACAAGATTTTTATCTTGTATCCTGGATTTTTCTAAAAGCAATATTTGTCTTGAATTTGGATCTTTTGAACCAAATTATCCTGGGTTTTCGAAAACTATAGGTTTAAATTTAATTTTTGCAAATACTTGATAAGGAAATTCCAACTACCCATAAAATATCTGAAAATGATATATACCACGAGTATGCTTATATATGAAACCAGACGTTATGAATGATAACATTGCAAAATGCAAAACAATAAAGGCGGGTAAAATAACTTCTAACATTATTAATTTCGAACTTTCAATTTCAATTTCACGAAAATTAGCAAAAATTAGGAAAACAAACTTTTGGACTGTCTGGAGTGGAAATTATTTCTAACAATAAGGTAATTATGAAGAAAACTGTACAGAGTTTTATGCAAGGCTTAAAAGCCAAAAAACATATAGATCATAAAATATAAGACATAATTTATTACAGCATATAATCGAATAACAAAATTCGTTGATTCATTTGAAAAAACTAAATTTTATCGTATCCATAGTGGGGTAGAGCTGGGCTTAAAGGTCCACCACCAATATTTCAAAAACAAGTAAAGTTAGGAGTTTTTTAACAATAATTTTATGTGAAAGTAGGGGACAAAAGATGTGTAACTAAGCAACGCCTTAAATCAAGCAACGTCGCTATCAAGATAAAAATCTTGTCAAAATAAAACAAAAGTATTTTCCTTCGATGTTAGTTTTTTGGTTGTGAGCACTATTGTTTAGTTTACGAGCCTTTAACATAATTTTTAGGTTTTCGTTATTTAATTTTTATAAGATGTATTGTTAATTATGAATTATATTCAACAGATGTTATTATTTAACATCTATAATAGGTAACATGTGGATGGGGTTAAGAAGACCAACTAAACCTTTACCATAATGGTTAGCCGTAAACAATAAAAAATAGTAAATAAGAATGTAAAATTCAGTTACAAGGAATAATCTAAATTAATAGTTATTCCAATTTTGCTGATGAATATTTCTAACAAAATCAAGGTCATATACAGTGTCATCTTTGTAAAAAATGTGCCCATGGAATATATATTTTGCATTGGTTAAAAACTCTAGCTAATAATTCGTAAATCCCTTTAAAATTAAAAGAAAGACTTTGTATCTGTTTATCCTCTGGCTGTCCCATTTTATACCGCCCATGGGGTAAAAAGAGACAAAATATAAATTTAAGAAAAATAGAAAAAAAACACATTTCTGTAATAAGGAATTAACTGGGAATGTTTCTAACATTCAACATAGTAGTTGTTTATTTGATACGTGTCATTTAGATCATTTTGTTTTGACAGTATAATTACTTAAGGCCAAATTGGACCGTCATGCCCCGCCCTACTTTATTTGTTATTAACTTCCCGTAGGGTATTAACTTCCAGTAGGGTAAGTTATTGTAATGGGCCGAAAATCGAAATTGAAAATTTTTACATTTCTCGACGTTTTGAAGGTTTCTGAACATTTTGGCATACCTCAGAAAAAATGGATGTGTGTGTGTGTGTATGTATGGATACAAATTTCCAGTCACGTTTTCGGGCGCACGGATCAACCGATTTCAATGGTTCAAAAAACATTCGATTCCTATTTATAGGGAAAAGAGCCGATTAGTTTTTGGCAAAGGCAGGTCCAGCCGTTTCGGAGATACGGAGCAAAGAGTGCAGAAAATAAAAATCGACTTTTTGAGAGAACGGAGTATCCGATTTGAATGATATAAAAAACATTCAATTAGTAATGATTGAGGGAAGTGTTTATTAGTTTTTGGCAAAGGCAAGCCCAGCCATTTCGAAGATACAGAGCTAAATATGTAAAAAATGGCAGTTTTTGAGAGAACTAAGCGTCCGATTTAAATTATTCAAAGAACTTTCTGCTTGTCTTAACAAAATAATTGATTTTGGATAAAAAAATTTTGTTTCGACTTTTTTTTAAAAAAAAATTTTTTTTGTATATCGAAAATAATTCAGATTTTATTTTTAATTCTGACTATAGTTCTAATATACTTTAAACAAATAATTTCAACTTTGCAATTCAGTTTATATAATTCTTATAAATATTAGACAATGTTACAATATTAATAATAATCTATTTGAAAACATTCAGTATTCCTCGAACATTTCGTTACGGTACGGGAAGTTCCAGCAATTTGCCTTAAGGCACGATGCCATACACCCCACTAGTTTAAATCATATTTAGTGATCAATATCATATCACTAATCACTCATATTAAGTTAGTTGACATAAAGACACCTGTCCCTGTTCCGGATTAGCAAAACTACAAATTGCAATTCCAACGATTATGGTCACCTTACTTATACTATGAAAACATTCGAAACTATTTTTTAATAAAGGTAAAATATCGTTTACTGATTAATGAAAATGAGAAATGCAAAATATTAAAATGTACTGTTATTTCCAACTTCACTTAATTAAACAATATGTGAGAATCCCGCAGTGATTTTGCTAACACCTTGTTGTGTGGTATATTGTAATCAAAATTCGCTGCGGATACGCGAAAATATTTGTAAACACTCTGAACAGAATCGGTGAACTAAGCACATACAATGCATTATGGAAAAACTTATAAACAGTAAATACTATTTCAATCACAAAAAATACACAAGAATATCACTAATAAAATAATGAAGGCATTTCATATACAACAACGTATTTGACATATATTTACATAAATAATGCCAGAATCGCCCGGTATTATTTATTTCACGATAATAGTAACATTATAATTGTCGTCAGCTGTTTACTCGTCGGTCGTCGCTTCGTAAAGCGTAAACTGACACCCGAACAAATCCGCGTCCAAGTTTCGACTGAAATCGACTGCCAATCACGGACATCGCATCGGCTGAGCAGGCCGGCAACAAATTTCTCGAGGCCACGACTCAGCTGAGTGACTACTGATAAATGATTAACAATGATACCGAGATTTTTTTTCATTACGCAGTTACGTCATATGAGCGGTCGTAAAATGTGATTTTTCGTTATTTGCATAACGAAAACTTATAACAGGCACCGTGTAGCATTAACTAGTTGTAAATGGCATTTTGTATTCTGAAGGAAAGTTCCATGAACTTCACGATACGCGTAAATAATGGAATTAATTGAGATTTAGTTATTTAGATGAAAATTTAAGCTGTTTGTTAACTTCCCGAAGAAAGAAGTTTGTTTTTACGACCGATTTGCTAATTTTGTTATCTCGACGTTTCAAGTAATTCTGAATCGAATGAGACCAAATTTGAAAAAAGTATGTGTGTGTGTGAGCCGATTCTTAATTCTTCGTCGACGTTTTCTCAAAAACGGCTGGACCGATTTAAAAAATTTAAAAGCGATTCGATGTATCTCGATGAGGACTACCGTTTATTAGTTTTGCGCGATAGGCAAAAAAGTAAAAATGTTCGTCCACGTTTTAACCATTTTGGTAGGAGCGGCAAGTTTACTTGACGGAAGCGGATGGCACCACTCAGAGGACCGTCACCACTACGTGACGGACGTGATACGAACGTGTACGGCCGAGCATTAGTCACTCGTGATAGTTTTTCTAAAGTGTCACCCTATAGGCCTATGAACAAGGCAGTATACGGACGACACCCGCCGGCTTTGGGTGACTTTCGTGGACAGTAGCCGCCGTAACCAAGTGGTTAAAAATTCTGAATTTTAAAAACTATTCGAAAGATGTAATTTGGCAATAGTGCTGATTAGTTTTGGGCAAAGATCGGCCGAGCCGTTTCTTAGTAATTAGCAGTTGATCTTTTTCTTTTGATGAAACTTTTTATGTTGATAGATATCATGGTACTTAAAAACATACTAAAATTTTTAATGTTCAAGTATTATGTAAGCAGATTTTTTACAATTATTTACCCCCCCCCCCTCCCAACGTCGTTCCGGCAAATCATTTTTGAGACGGAACGCGTTCCGGCAAGAAAAAATATAAAAAAATCGCTACATACAGAAAATGATTTAATAAGTAAATTTTATAAGTTATTATTCAACTAATTTTTATTAAACGTTTTTATTATTGTAATAAACATACATATATGTGAAAAAATGGGTTTTGTAATAATTTTTGTTTCTTTCCTTTTCGAACGGAACCGAAAAAAACATGAAAACCGGTTTTTGAACCGGTTTTTAAATTTTAGCGTTCCGGCAAAAAAAATATTAGCACAACACCACTGGTTTTATCAAAGTCGTTTTTAATTTAGTTACAAATTGAGGTGTATGAACTGAAATATTAATTACAATACATAAGTGTATTTCAAATTTCACATATGTTACTTTAAGACCGAAAAGTGTCTGAAGCCCTAATATTTCGGATATAAGTTGGACTTGTTTCGGACATAGCGGGCGTTAGTCGAATAAAATAAATAATTTAAGACATTCATATAATGGAAATTGATGGTAGCGAATAAAGCAATTCTATAAATACATAACCATAAACTCTGCAAAAAAATTAATATTTTAATAATTGGATGAATTTTTCCCATCTAAGGCAAAAATATAAGCCGTTCGATCGCTTGTAAATTTTTACAATCTAAAATTTTTTGTTAATTTTTTTTAATCATTGTTTTATTGGCATTTATTTATTGGTAAATTAGTTGACAATTCATAGCAAAAGAGTTACCCTGATATTTCAAAAGTAACGGATATTTTGGATATTTTAGATATTTAATACCGAGATAAAAATTCTTATAGAAAAAATAATATTTATAAATTAAATCTTATATACATTTGCATTTTTTATACGCTAATAACTACATCATAGGTTCCTACTCGTGTATTGTTATAGCCTTACGTATGCCTACACGTTGCATTCTATACTACACGTCTTATATCTATACCATACACTATATTTCATCATATACTCTCAAATCCCTACAGTGCATACCGAATACACCTAACCTATATCTACTATATATCCTATTATCTATAATTTCCCTTACACGCTACATTAACCCTACCGAGAATCGAACCCGGGTCCGCCGCGTGACACGCGGCGACCTTAACCACTACGCCACCGTAACGCTACAATCAACCGTCTTTTTTCGCCTGTCGTCGCGCCACCTTGGTATTAATTATCTAATTAATTAGAAAATGACCCGCGGTAACAACAGTGCGTCCCATATTATATTATTGGTGTGGATACCCGATAGGGTAGTGGTTAAGGTGCGCGACAGCCACGCGGAGGTCCCGGGTTCAATTCCCGGTATAGACAATAGATAGGTAGAGATAATACATAGGGTGTAAGGTAAACCTATATAATATAGGTGAATATATAAATTAGACAGTAGTATTTATAAGAAGTAAAAGGTATGTAGGTATATATTAAGATAATGACGGTATAGGTATCTCATGGTATGATAGATATCTATCTATCTATCTATATATACAATAATATAGTATAGTATGGTAGGTAATAGGTTATCTATCATATTATTAGTTTAAGTCTTATAAAGTATTGTAATAAATCTTGAGTACTTTTATATCATAATAAATACCTGTAGGTATTAATGAATACAAATAATACCAGAATAAATATAATTAATGTCATTGAAGAATATAAATTATGTACTAAATGATTCCCTCATACTTGTACAATTTAATGTATAGACTAGCTGTATATAATAGAGTTAATTATATAAGAAGTCAATATATTAGATTTGTGAGTTCTTATCGAAATATAGCAAATTTTTTGAACCGGTTTATGAACCGGATTTTAAATTTTAGCGTTCCGGCAAAAAAAATATTAGCACAACACCACTGCCCCTACTCCCATGCTTACGTAAACATTTTGCAATTAATGTATTGTTTTTTTTTAAATATTGTAATTATTAGGTTATAATTATAATTTTAAAAATAAGAAAATAGATTTAGGATGTAGAGATTTTACTGATATGGTATTCAACATAGAGTAACAAAATTATTATAATCTTACGAACATAACAAACTTATTTTAAATTTTTGGTACTGGCAAAGACAATGTAAGGTTGCCATTCGGTAAAAAAATAAAAATACCTATCTATGACGTAATCATCATCCAGAATCCCCTGCCCCCATGTCAACTCAAAATAAGCAAATCAACAATCCCCCGCCTCCCTATAGTGCATACGTAATACTTGAACGGCTCCTTACTATTAGATACAACTTATTGGATCAAGTTAATAGGCCATATTTTTTTAATCTTCTTAATTCTGATGTAAGGAGCAGCGGAGCAACGAGTCAATGGGGGTGATTTTTAATTTGTAATGATGATAAGTGGATCAAGTTTTATGAAGTCTTTGATATAATATATAGTTCATTCACATTTTATGGCTCACGAACCAGGGTGCACCTGTCATCATTCTAACAACGAGAACCCGCGTATCTCGTCTCGGATTTTGATGAAACTTGGTATAATCGTAGATTTTATGCCTAAACTGACTGTGGTAAAATATTAGAGGCCTGTGAAAACCGATTTAATTATAAAAAATAATTAAAGTTTGTATTTTAGCTAGTATCTGAACACAGTACCGGGCGTGTTTCATATTTTTCCTTAACCTTTGATCGATTTCCAATTCCAATCAAAATTTTCCAAGTAAGTTGATATTAAAATACATATATGTTGAAATTTCATTGTATTTTGTTCTGGCTCGGGATTCCTCTGATTTATGATTTCTGCAATTTTAATTGTATATCAGTTAAGTTTAATTTAATGGCGGATTCAGTATATTGTTACGGTTGAACAACAGTGAATTATTAATATTTTGAAAATATAATCAAGTTTACCAAAATGGTTAAAAAGTATTACAAATAAATAAGATTCTACTGTATCTTGTATAACATTTATTAATAAATCTATAACATAATATAGAAGCCATCATGTTTTAAATAAAAGAGAAATATTACAGTTTGTCTTGAGGTACCATAAATATTTATGATAATGCTGGTAAAATATTTATACATATATTCATTTAAATTGCCCCATATAATAAAATTCCTGATATTTGTAGATCATGAAATAAATTATTGCTCGTATCATAGAGATGAAAGGGTTTCAGTAGCAGTCTTCAAAACGCAATTGTCAGCCTGATACAGTTGAAGCGGTAGAGTTAGTCCAACATTAGCAGTCCAACGCCAAAGGTTTCTAGAAAGTATTAATCAAATCAAAATAAATAGTGTATATTAATAGTATAATAAAAATGAGTCCATCTGTCTGTCTGTCTGCGTCCTATTTATCTCTCTGTTTGTCTTTTGATCTGTCCGTCTGTCTGTCTGTCTGTCTGCAGGAGTCTCTTGGTCTGTCCGTCTGCATGTCTCTTTCTCTGTTTTTTTTGTCTGTCTGCAATGCATTATCCTGGGATGGCATAACGTATTAGAATTTTTAAATATACTGATGATTATAGTAGGGTAGGGAGGGGCTAGTTGAGCAAATTTTTACTTAAACGGATGTAGCTTCTCAATAAATTGCTATACGGCTTAATGGATTTGTTGTTTATCGCTTAACAAAAGTGTTAATACTATTTTTTGGTAATAAGTAAAATTTAAAAGCTACAGCTGTTTGAATGCAAAAAGTCTCGTATGCTCAATGTACCCCATAGGTGGGGCAAGTTGAGCACTAAGAAAGTATAATGAAATCATAAGTTTAATGTCGATAATAATGAAATAAAATAAGTTTTTAATAACCAGTTCTATATTTATAGTCTTTATTGACAGAGAATACAAAACTTATAGTAATTTGCTTTGAATAATTAACGAAAAGTAGAATCAACAAAACAATATCGTATCTTAGGAATTATTTTACCATTATATTCAGTATTTTTGTTTAAAATCATTATTTCTTTATATTATTACTCATAGACTTAGCTTAAATCTTAAAAATAATAATTTTCTGGAAGTTATTTGTAATTGTCTTAGTGACATAACAAGTTTAGCAACTATGCTCAACTAACCCCAACTCGGAATTTCAAAATAAAAGTGAGTTTATGAAAAAACCGTGAGAATTATACCCAGAATCTCTGTGCATATTAAAAGTACTATAAATATGTGGGAGAATAACATTTACCTGATTAAAAATAAATAACATTTGACTAAACCAGACGAAAACTCGTGATGAATTACTTTTTTACTTTTTGGTCTGAAAATAGCAAAACGCCCGTGAGCCTCACTCATTTGTCCAGCGGCCACTAGCGATCGCGGGATGTTTATTTCTCCCAAACCTCTATCTTTCCGCCATATAATGCCTAAACGGACGGTGGATAGTTTTCGAGATATTTTGATTGCTCAACTTGCTCCTATGCTCAACTAGCCCCGCTCTACCCTACTTGAAATATTTTTACTTTTTCAAAATTAGCCGAATTCATTTACTGGTTACAAAATCCATAAAGTGCAGAACAATATTTTAATATACATATTATATAAAAAATAAATGCTAATGTGTTAATCCGCAAAATGACCACTAGGCATATGCACATCTATTTATCTGATATTTTATGAAGATTTGAATAAGTACAAATTTTATTTACATTTCTATGGGTTTAGTATCAAGATTTATAATGTTTAATCGTTTGACTGCGACGCGGCGCTTATGCGCTTCGATAGTCTGTTTCTAAAATAGTTAAAAGCAGCGCAATCGCTTCAGAATATTTTTTTTTGTTAAAATTATCAAAAGGTCGTTTTTTTCAAGTTTTTCAAATGTTATAAAAAATTTCAAAAAATTTTGAAACTGTTTTATAAATGTTATATTACTATATATTAACGACGTGTTACACCACTAGTTTTAATTTCATATTAAAGTTTATCCTATTTTGGTTGGTGTCAATATTCTCATAATGTCTCATAATTAATGATCGTCGTATCCAATTCTGTCACAGGTTTGATGTCACGTACCACATTAACGAAAATTGGAGACGGACGGATTGTATTCGTATTATTAAGTACCTCAAAGTAATGTCTGGTCGGTGCCATCTGGATTAAGCCAGGAGGTATTCTGATAATGTTTTCTTAATGGTCGCCGTGCCCTTATAGGATGCACGTCTTTATTTTATCTTCTTGCTTCTGTAGTTCTTTAGTTTGCATTACAATTAACAGTACTCATTACAATGATACTTATTTGCGAGATATATTTCAATTGATTCAAAACATATATGTTGTGTTTTATCAAGGAATAATTGCGCAAACATTTTTAACATTTAACAGTAGGTTACTTCTCTAAAGGGAAACTATTAGAACAAAAACACTATATTCAATAGTACGGTAACACACGTCACACAAAATGCTAGTACATATTTATAGTAAAATAAATATATTAACTGATAACACATTAACTCGATCTGAACATTTTGAAGGCTGGAGAGCGAATGAGATATAAGTTATAGATAATAGTCAGAGTATTAATCAGATGAGTTAAATAGTAATAATGTGGTAATTACACTTTGATAATCGCATAGCTATCAATAATGATCAAGATTGTAATTAGTAGTCAATAATAAAGTACTTTCTCATCTCAAAATACGTGTTCTCCCAAGTGATCCATACGGATCTCCATTAGGAGTCAATGTCAGCGAAGAAAATTATATCTTGCCCTAAGGCAAGTTGCAAAAACATCCATCAAAATTTGAGATTAACTTATTTTAAATCGTTTAAGATTATTTCCAATAAATAAATAATTTCAATTACCTCGTCAACGTTATGCAATGTTCGTTCTACTAAAGGCCGTATTTTAAGATTGATATTTTGGAACTAATAAACTAAACAATGTGTTTATTATATTAAGTTTGATATTTTCTCGACTTGTATGTAAGTCATTCGTATAATAAGTAAACTAATTATAATCTGGCGCCAATGGCAATAATGGCAACCAATAAAGTAGTGGTTAAGGTGAGCTAATACCACACGAAGGCTCCGGGTTCAATCCACGGCAGAGTTAAAGTAAAGTACAGGTCGTAAATCAAAAATATTGCGTATATGCCGTAAAATATACGATGTATACAGGGTGGAAAGATACGTAAGATGTATACTATTATAAGTAACATAATAATGAATTGATGATAATATAGGGTTAATAGATTTATTGGTAAGTGCAGGAATCGACTATTGGTAAAATAACATATTTTAATGAACCTTGGGTACTTAATTATACTTGTGTCTTACTTAATTTTGTTACTTTAAATTAAATTAATAAATATATAAACTTAATATATAGTTTTTCTTTAAATGTTCAATACTAAACTTTATTACAGTTGAGTTTCCAAACTTTTTTGTGCTGTGGATTCCTTGCGCCTTGCCATGGACTCCTATTTAATCAAACTTTATAAAAAAAACGATGTCGAATAAATAGGGGTATACGGTAAGGACAAGGAAGGTATAAAAGGTGTGGGATCCTATTTGCCATACCTTTTACTATTATGTCTTTATTTGTCATGACTTGTTAATAAAAATTCATCCTCTGGTAAAGGAATACGTTTATAGCTTTTTTCGGTGACCAGATATGTTGTTAAACCCGTGAATATGATCAAACATATTCCAATAGAATTTAAAAGAACTCCTTGAGCTGGTAAATCTGCATAATTGCTTTTCCTGAAAATATGACAATGATAGTATATCTTTATAAGAATTTTTAATTATTATTAATAATGATAGTTAGTTTTATAATATATAATTCAGCTAAGCAAATTTAGTATTAATTACAATTTTAATTGTATTTTCATGGCATCATATATGAATTACGAATTTACATATTATATCACTTACATTACAAAAAATCCTTTTTCTGATAAGCCAAGTAGTGCTGCTACCACGACGCATATAAATATTGCTATACCAAAAAATGTATGAACTGGCATGTAGGTTGTTTTGATATTAGATGTTAGGCCTGGATATAAGTATGTCACAAATCCTGATAATAGCTAGAAATGTAAAACATTTTCAAACTAGTACAATAGTATTTTTATAAAACATTTATTCTGAATATTCACTACGTTTATTTCTTCATATCGTGTAATATTAAGACTATTATGTCATGAGATCATCATTAATAGTAGTGCGGCTTCTTTAAATAAAGTGTGATTTCGAGAATTAATAAAACATTTTAGAATATTATAATATTTTTCTCTGAAATTAAAAATAGGAAAAAATAGCCAACAAATTATACAGTTTTTTATTTACTCCCTAGGTTTATTTTTGTTCTTAAAATCATTAGTTCTCAGAAATACATTATTAGAAATGATATGAGATTTACTAAAACGTTTACTCTTTTTTTATATATTAACCTTTTGTGACTATCTATGTGTGGGAATGTCTGATATAGACGACATCCGCATGACAACCTGTGTGAACAGGTTTCGCCTATAGACGACATCTAGCGTGTTGGTCCTTGCCCCGACATTTATCACTATAATTTGTTATAGCAATTTTTAGTTGTTTAGAAGAGTAATTTTCAACTTTAAGTACAATTTGATTGATAATTATTAAAAAGTCACAAAATTTGTTTTTGGGTCTAGTATGTTCAGAAGCGATGTTTCATACAGCAGTACCATTTCTGCTAATAACACTCTCGTGGCGAAAGGGTTATAGTATAAAAGCAAATTTTCACGCCGACTTGGTTTTATCTTTCGAAGGTCCTTTAAAAAAATCGGTAATGCCGGTTCAAACGCGGGCCAGCAGCAACTAGTCCCGAGTTTGCTGGTTCGATTCCCGCCCAAGCCCAACATCAGGCAACTTTGATGTCTAATTTCCACTTTATGCAATAGATCTCAAATACAGCCTCAAGTGAAAATCGCCTCTCATGGGTATAGTTGCATATATATAATAAACATGTCAGCAAATACTTCGAGTATAGTTAATTAGTCATAATTGGATTAGACAACTACTGAGTTGCCATCCATTCAAAACTCCAGATAATAAAGTCAAAACAATTACTGAATGTCCTAAGTGTGACAGTTTGTAATTCAAAATGTTAAAAAAATTCGATCAAATGATTGGATATAAGGTTGAAAATGTGTGTATCGGATTTTTTCAGAACACACAGATGATTCAATTATCAGTGTGTGGACGATTTAGTATGTTTATCATTCTAATGTATACTATTTAAAACCATGTTCTCTGAACATATAAGTATAAACTATCATCACCCTATCAAATTTTATAAAGAAATATTGAATTATGCTTATATTGATACATATTATAATTAATATGTATATTATATAAATATAATTATATATAAACACCAAATGTACCTGACAAGCGAATAATATAACAGCAGTTAATCCAATCCACGAATGCAAGGAATACATATTAGGTATCGGATCGCTTTGTCCATCCTTCATGTGCAAATTATGTGAATCAAATACTGCTATCAATGCGAAAATAGTAAGCAAAAATATCAATCCATGTATAGCTGAATGAGCAATTTTAAGAGTTCTTTTGCAACAACTTCGATAGCTTCTATATATCAGCATAGCTAAAAAGCAATGAAATATGTAATGCCTTCATTTAATACTAATAATTTGTTAATTTGGAATAATTCATATTTTAATATGATGATCGCACATTATTGTTAATTTCAACTAATAATTTCAACTTGTTGCGTGGCATCGCATAATTAACAAAAAGCATAATACTGTTTTAACAATAATTGGGTCAATCTCGAATTTCACACAAGTGTCTCACTTATTTTTGGCCACTTCATAAAACGCCTCAGTCAACGGAGACCTTAGATCTGATCATTTCAAGGGTAACTGAATTCTATACATAAAGATAATGAACTTATTTCGTAAGAAGAACAAACTAAGCTAAATGTGAGCGATATTTTGTCTTGAGGCAAGTTGTATGAACTTCCCGAACGTGTAAATAGACGACTTAGTGAATAAGAATTAAAATTTAGTTATTTTGGATAGAATTTCCAATTGTTTATTTCGAAAATATAGTTTTCGCTTTCACTAACAACTAATCAACGCGATTTCTAATTCATATCCGTAAACAACCTTATGATATCAGTAATTGTATAAATTACATTTAATATATCTATCACATTTCATTCTACTTCATGTTCTAAAAATGTATTTTACTTAATTGTGGTGTTACTGCAGGGGTACCACAAGGTAGTATACTGGGTCCTATATTATATTCTATCTTTGTCTCTGATATTCCAAATAATAATGACATCAAACTATTAATGTTTGCGGATGATATCGCAATTTTTTCTTCAGGTATATCTGAAAATTCAATTATTATGCGGCTCCAAAATCAACTGGATAAAATTTTAAAATATGCACATAAATGGAAAATTAAAATAAACTATGACAAAACTGAATCAATTTTCTTTACCAAAAGACGAAAAAATCCAATACCATCGCTAGCACTTCAAGTGCATGATATTGTAATACCATGGAATAATGAAGTTAAATACTTGGGACTGTCGTTGGACAGAAAATTTAATTTCAATGTACACATAAAAAATAAAATTAACCAAGCTAAAAAGATTTTGTACATGCTATACCCATTAATGAAATTCAGAAGCTGTCTTAATGTAGAAAATAAAAGAACGTTATACCTGACTATGATAAGACCAATCTTAACATATGGATGTCCAATCTGGTGTATGACAAATAACCAGAATCTAGACAAGTTACAAAAACTACAAAATACTGCTGCAAGGATGATTATAGGACAATCAAGAAACCAAGTACAAAACATTATATAAATACTACATTTCTTCATGAAGCCACAAATATACCATACATAAAAACCTACATTGACGGTATTTCAAAAAACTATACTACATGTTTAACTAATCAGAACCCTACCATAAATAACATTGGATGCATAAATACTTATAGGCCATGCTACTGCAAATACAAAATACCTTCCTCCATTAATAACTCAATAGATAATAGTCAAAGAAATAATTAATATTACTTAGTTAGCTATGAAAGAAATATTGTTTTTATTTTATTATTGTGACATAGTTATTTATTAACTTTTGTGTTCGTGTTTGTCCTTAATATTACAAAGAGTTGGTTTTTTTGTTGACATTTTTTACCAAAATTTAAATTTAAATTTAGTCTATTTTGAACTCTTTAATGTATATAAGTATAATGTGTATAGAATTTACAAACATAATTTAATTTAATGTATTGTTATCAATATGATAGATGTACATAGTTTGTAAGTCATAATGTTTATATAATGTATCTGAATCTGATTTGAAATAAAAAGTCTTTTTAAAACAAAAAACTTAATTGTGGACGTCAAAGAACACACAGATTAGAATATATATGTCATATATGTTAGCTATTTACAAAAGATACTATTAGTACTGGGTATAGCAACAAATAATAAAATTTGTTTAACCCACCAAAACTCACCTCACAAGAGTAAGAGCCCCCTGATTTTATTCCTATGCTAAGCAACATTAGAATTTTGAAATTGTTGAAGCAAAATTTCTCTTTTAGCTGGGGCAAAGATCTTATAGCAATTAGCGAATATAAAATAATGAAATTAATTATTACTTAATCTTACAATTAGAGTAGAGAAATATCATTCCAATCGACATGAGCAAAGGGTGCCAATTGAATTGAAGTTCTGGAGTACTTCTCCAAGCAAATCCTCCCAGGTATCCTCCAGTCCATATACCTACAAGAATTACAAATGCTAATCCAAAAGCCATGGCTGCGATGTAAATAGGCCGAAATCCTTGAATATTTTGTTCCATGTCTTTCATATACTATGGAAAATGGGAAATACAATATTACAGTCTAAATAAAGTGAGTAAAGTTTATATATAAATGAACTCAATAGTGATAGTGTAGATAGATAACACAAATAGCAGTTATTCAAATCTACTAATAATTCAGGTTGCAATAATTTGTTCCTATTATGGGATGAAATTTTTGTATATTTATACATTAAGGCCTTAATAACTATTGGCATATAGAAAAATTGAGGTATGCTTGCGTGTTTGAGATATATGTATGCAGTAGTTTTGAAGCAATAAACAAGTCTTTTCAGACATAGAATATTTTCAGACTTTTTGAAGAAATTATAAGAGAATGTGATTAATGGTTTACTTAGAAATATTCTTAGAAAAATTAAATTTTAAAATAATTCATAATTTTTCAATAGTAAAAATTAAGATTTAAAGTACTTAAAAATGCATAGGAATCGAATATATTTATAATTGCTATTATTTTAAATATTAGGAAAGAACTTCTACATGAATTCAATATTTTCTATTATAAATTAAAAAACTATTAAGTTCGTTATTTTTTTGTGCAATATGCTGAATACAAATTAGCTAAGGAATATTAGGAATCGTTTATTTTTTATTTTAAGCGTCGCATAATCGTACCATATTTTTTACAAATATGAGATATATTTTGATATTAAAATATATCTATAGATATATTAATATACTATATAATATTATAATATTCATATATATATTTGAAAATGTATTTACGTTTATCAAACCAAAACGAACAAACTAAAAATGTGTTAATATATTCCGACATGTACAAGCTCAATTCATTTTTTATTATCTACTATTCACTGTAAAAAAATTTAAATAAAGAAATAATTAAGAAAAATAAATTATCAATATGTAATAAAAATATTTAACTTACTGTAAATGATTCTCTTGTCCCTCACAATTTTTCAGTACTGATGTTAATTTTGTTACCACAAAGCAGCAACAAGTTTGACCAAAAAATCAATATATTTTCATAGATGCGGAAAATTCAGTTGTGTTGACTAGTCACCATATCAAACTTTCATTGAACATATAGTTCACATCTATATGAAAATCGTATATTGAAAAAATTGATCAAAATATACTATAGTCTATAGACTTTATAAAAAGTCATTATATAATTTTTAATGCAGATCGCCCCCTTTTTTTGCTAGAAAATTGTGATTTCTTTTTTAGTTATATATTAGAGCGGATCAAATTATATGGAGCCAAAAATATTCACAGAGGCCTCAGAGGCACATAGCGATTTTGGTTATATGGGTCATAATTGCCCAAAACGATAATTGCACATTTGCTGCCAGCTGATCGTTTTTATTCAATGAAGATTTTTTTTGAATTTATTGTGAAATCATTTTTATGAAAATTATTATTATTGAGTAAACATCTATAGCATGAGATATTATTATTAATTGCAATTTTTGGTAGATGTACAATTTGATTTTTAATTAGTCTTTATTTAAAAAACAGTTATATATAATATATAATTCAAAAGCATAAAAAATGAATTTATTTACCTTTCAAATAATTAACAGAAAGTATAAATGTATAAAAATATTATCTTTTTTCTTATGGGATTTTGAACAAACGAACATTCCATCATATCCCAAAAATGTCGAATTTTTTTTTGATGACTTTGATGAAACTTTGTGAAACGATAGAGTTCATAGTTTGAAATAACATGCTGAAATATTATAGGTTTTCGAGCGTTTGAATTGAAAAAATCATCAAAATTTAAAATTTTTTGATTACATTGTAATCAGAATCTATGCCGAAGTACATGCACGTTCTGGGTTCTGGGCTGTTTTGTAGACAGCTACTGATTAGAGTTTACGTCCACAAAATACATTTTCAGAACACAAAAAGAATGAAATGAAATGTGTGAATGAAATAAACAAATTGATTTAATTTATACAACTTTTGATAAAAGCGAAATCTTTATTTTTGAAATGAATAGTACAATTATTCATTTTATCTGAATACTTGATTAATTTTATTATGTATTCATATCGAAAAATTTATGCAATTTACCTTAAGGCGAAACGTACTCTTCTTTTATTTATGACAAAATGCTTCGTACGTCTCATAAAGTACAAGTTACAAACGTTCCATTAAGGTGCGTCCACACCTAACGAACGAACATGAACGAACATAAATGAACATACCAGAACGAACGGCAACAGCATAGTGTGGAGCCACAACGATCACGAACGAACATAAACAAACATGGCGAGCAATGTTCCGCAACTTGTCGGTACATCAAAGGGAATTGTTCGTTCGTGTTGGTACTCGTATTTTCAGTGTGGAGTCTCAACGAACGCAAACGAACATTTTTGTTTAATAATTTTAATAATTTAATAATAATTTTTAATAATTTAATAATAATTTAATAATTTAATAGTATTTACTTTTAATTATTGTGTACAGTTTGAAAATTTTAATATATTTACTTTTAATTATTGTGTACAGTTTGAAAAAATTTGAATAAATTTGGAATGGTCAAATGACGTAATTTTATCATTCATAAATGAAATAGAAAAGTTCCTATAATATGGG